GGATAGATTATTTTCTTTAAGAGCTATGATAATATTTCCAAATACCAATGTCCGCTCCACTAAAAAAGTGGTGAGAATGGTCATTTCCTCAGTCTGTGATCTATGCTGAATATTTAGGTTTTTAAATATCTTTGCTATTTTAGAGGTAGAAAATATCTTATAGTTTATTTGATTTTTATTTCTGATAACAGCTGAACTTAAATAATGGTATATTTTATTATGTACTGTGTTTCTTTCATACAATACAGTTTTTCCTTTAGAGTATTGTCTGTCTTATTAGTTTGTAGGACATTGACTGTTTTCACTTTTGTTGCAGATACCTCAAGTTTGGCATTTCATTCATTCAAAAAACCCACCATTTTTAGATAACCCACTGACGTGGTGAAGTAAGGACATTGTTAGGAAAAAGGCATGTAGGATATGGAACATGAGTCAAAAGAGAACTATTCTGGGTGATCTCTTTGTTGTTAAGCCCAGTGATTGTCTGTGAGGGAGTGGAATTGGTGGGGATCTCACTGAGTGCTGGCTGTCCAGAACTCACTTTCTCATTGTGATCTGACTCCAGTTGTTCAAAAGCCATTCCTTACTGGTAGAAGTCAGAGCATGGGATATCCCTTGAGAGTATATGTGAAATGCATTACTTTGAAGAATTGGTTTTGGAACACTAAAGTGGATAATGGAAGCAGCTATTTCATTCTTACGACTCTGGAGTAAAATGGCCGTGATCTTTGGTCTGCCCCAAAACTGTCTTAAATTTTGCTTGCTTTGGCTAACTCTGATAGGAAATAGTTATGGGAGAGTAGGAAGGGAATAGGGCTTAGAGCCCGTATTTCAAACCCTAGTACCACTTCTAGGTATGAGCTGTGTGACCCTGCACAGGTTACTTATCTCCGTTTTTTAGGTTTCATGCAATCCATGTGGCATGACCTAAGCACTCAGTACATACTCGTTAATTATTTTTTCTCTTCTCACGAGGTCTGGTCTATGTCATGTGCATCTCTATCCTCATTAGTGTGATAGTCTCTTTGAGATTACTTGATGACCAAATGAATGGGGCCGAGTGTAACAGCTTAAATAAGAGCAGGTACATTCTGAAGAGTGAGAATAAACTTTCTCTGTGTATTATTTATTGTTTAAGAAAAAAACCAAAAACAACCCTCATGGTGTTGATAGATTTTGGGTAATCAAGGTAGATTTGGAATGCCCCTCTCTTTTCGACATGTGACAGCCTCTCTAGGTGAGGGCCAGGGCCACAATGATGGTTCTGATTATTCCTCTCCAGGAGGCCCCCTGAGCTTTCACATCATCTCCTAACACAGTGCGGCTGGAGGCCTTCCTGTCAGAGCCTCCTGGGCCAGAATGGGCCTCTGGGGCGAGCTGGGCCTATACCTGTTCCCACTCGTAATGAGCAGAGCTGCTCCTGCGACCCAGCGGGAGCACCTGAGTGGGTGTGCATGCACATAATGGGCCTGGCTGCTGTGGCTGCAGCCTGTGAATGCCCTCCAAGAGGCCAGATGCCTGGACACATCTCTCAGCAGCTACTTTTCCTTTAAGGGGGATGCTCACTCCCTGGTGCTTATCCTTAGTACCTCTGACAAGGAAAGGGAATCCATCCTGCCCTGATCAGCAGGGTGAGCACCTTCACTGGATTCAGTCTCACGCAGCTCAGCAAGGGAGTTGCTAGTATCTAATTGTCTTAGTTTCCTAGGGCTGCCATAACACAATAGTGTAAACTGGGTGACTTAAAACAACAGGCATATATTTTCTCACAGTTCTGGAGGTGAGAAGCTGGAGGTTGAAGTGTTGGCAGGGCCATGTTTTCTCAAGTCTTTAGAGCAGGATCTGTTCTGTGCCTTTTTCTTAAAGGCTATAGTGTCGCCATCAGTGCTTGGTTTTCCTTATCTTACAGCTTTGAACTTCAGTCTCTAACTTTGTTGTCTCATGGTTTCTCTCCTAAGGTTGTCGTTGCATTATCTTCTTGTAAGGACAATTGTCATATTGAACTAAGGGATCACCCTACTCCAATATGACCTTGACTGATCACAGCTTCAATGACACCATTTCTCAATAAGGTCAAATTTGAGGTATACTGAGGGTTAACACTTCAACAAACCTTTTTGGGGCATGCAATTCAACCCATAACCCTCATGTTGTATACAAGGGTACAGGTTTAAAGAAGATCAGTAATTTGGATGTGGTCACAATTAGGAAGTGTTGGGATCAGGATTGGAACTCAGGCCAGCCTGTCCAAAGCCAGTTCTCTTTCTACTAAACTTTGGTGTGTCAGAATCACCTGGAGGGCTGATAAGAAACACTGGGGCCCAGGCTTTATACCCTTGCTCCTCCACCTGTGGTCCATGGACCAACTGGCAGCATCAACATCACCTGAGAGCTTTTTTTGGAAATGCAGCGTCTCCCCCACCACACACCTATTTTTAACAAGATCCCCAGGTGATTTGGGTGTGCAGTCAGGTAGATGAAGCACGTGAATTGGTATATGCTGCTTTTCAGTCCTGATTGCATGTTAGATTGCTTGAGAACAGTAAAAGACAAAACGCAAATAACAGCGATGACAGCCTTACCCCACGCCATTGAATCGGATCTCTGATGAGGTGCCGACGTTTATATTGTTTAAAAGCTGCCCAGATTATTCTGATTCACAGTACAAGTTGAGGATCACTGTGGGGCTGGAGAAATGAGCACTGTGTGCTCATTTCTGGAATATCCAGACCTCAGTACTGAGATTGAGAATTCTTTTTGCACAGGCTTTTCTTTTTATTTCCACAGTAGTGCAGAAACTGGTCCTGGAGGGGGGCTACTGTGAGGAATTTATTTCAGAGAAGACAGAATATTATATAGCAAAGGAGACCACACTGCATTTTTTTTCTGACTTTACCTCTTACAGATACTAAGTGTGGGGTAGCATCCTATCTGTCTAGCCCAGGAGCTTGGGAGAACATGAAAGGTGGTATGGAGATAGCATATAGTGGGCAGTCAGTGCTTGTTGAATTAAATTGAATAACAAAAACCATAGGAAATCAGCATTGTTGGTCTCACTGAAACATATCATTTATAGAGATGCTATTGTGTTACTTTGGGGTACACGGAAGAGTTGCAGAAGACTGCACAGACACTCTCGATGTTTAGCAATTCTTAGGCTGCATGGGATGGCTTATGCTTGTAATCCCAGCACTTTGGGAGGCTGAGGTGGGCAGATCACTTGAGCTTAGGAGTTTGAAACCAGCCTGGGCAATGTGGTGAAACCCGTCTCCACAAAAAATACAAAAATTAGCTGGGTGTGATGTCACACACCTGTAGTCTCAGCTACTTGGGAGGCTGAGGTGGGAGGATCACCTGAGCCCAGGGAGGTTGAGGCTTCAGTGAGCCATGATCACACCACTGCACTGCAGCCTGGGCAGCAGAGCTAGATCCTGCCTCCAAAAAAAAAAAAAAAAAAAAAAAAAGCAATTCTTGTTATATTAATAAACATGGAGTAGTTATTGGAAGTTTTGAGAATAAAGTGGGAGCAGCCCTTAATACCTACAGATGTATTTTCTGCTGTAGGTTTTGTGGTGAGGGGAAGAGCTAGTATCCTAGATGGTGACCTCTTAACTTTTAATTCTTCAAGATAGATTTGAAGAAGGATGGTGATTGTGTTCAAACCATCTTGCCCTACTGTTCCCTCAAACTCTGTCCCATCAGTCCTTCTCCTCTTAGCTGATCTTTTAGACAATCACAGAGTGTGGAGAAGGGGCTCATTTCAATCTGGGGTCTTGATGTAGCATGCATTCGGTCCTCAGACTAGGGCTTTCACAGACAGTTGGCACCCTATCCAGTGACAGTTCTAGTGTCCTTTTCTCATTCCTGGACTTCTTGATGTTTGTGCTTTTGTACCCCCTGGTGTGCCACCCACCACATCCCATCCTGAAAATCCATGGTATAGCCCTTAAGTCTTAGATGTGCATGCTCTCCCTCTTTTTTTTTTTTTTTTTTAAAACCTTTCTTCCTCTTCCTTACTCCACTAAATAGTGGTTATCTTTAAGGTTTTATTTACCCCCTCTTTTTTGTAAAGGTTTCCTCCACTCTGCCAGTTTTACTATCCTATCTGTGCAGAGGATCACCATTTCTCTTCCAAATGATTGTCCCTTCGTCAGCAAAACATCCCATACATTGAAAATGGAATTCTCCAATTTCTCTTGTTTGTTTTCTGGCTTGCTTTTTTGTGTCAGTGTATCCTATCTACTATTTTTCAAAACCCCCTTGTCTTTGAAACCTCCTATTTGATTTACCCTGTAGGGACTGATCAGTCCCTTACTCTTCCATTCTCCTTTGGGACATCTTTCATATGTTCATTTCTCCTTTGGATAATTCTCATTTTCCAAACTCTAATTGCCTGATACCTGGATGAGTCTCTAGCTATGCTTCTTATCCCTGCAATGGAAATTAAACTTTTTATTAAAGGCCTTTGTATAACATATCAACTCTACCTGTATTTCCACTTTTATCTTGCAGTACTGCCCTGGTGACCTCAGCTCCAGCTACGCTATTGTTTTTACCTTTCCCATGGTTGCCTTCTGCGCACATGCTCTGTGGTTGGCCCCCATTGCTGACTGCTGATTGAAGGTGATGTGTATTCATCCTCTAGACAGTCTGTGCTTTTCCTGTCTTTGGAGCTTCCAGTTCCACCCCCATTAGTTCTTTCCTGACCACTCCATCTTGCCTTATTTCTCACTCTTTCCTTTTGACTGGAAGAGTACTTATCTTTTCTAACATCTCTTCTTGAACTCTGTTTTGATTTCACTTATATTGATTTTTAATGTATAATATGCTGGTGTTCCATTTCCTCAGTTAGATCAGAAGCTCCCTAAAGACAGGGCTCCATTGGTGTTAAACTGCCATCTTCAAGGTCTGGGAGTTGATTTCTCTTTTTCTACCCCCACAACAAGGCACTCCTGCACCCAGTCGGAACTCAGTGTCTGTGGTCAAGTAAATGCATGAAGGAAATTAGAACCCATGGTGAGTATGTTTATTTAAATGTGTAAACCAAGAATGCCTTATGGTGTGTATGCCAGAAGTGAAGTTCTCATCTGTAATTACCAATGAAAAAAACACCTTGTATTTACAGTTGAGTTTGGCACCAAATCAGCACTGGTCTTTCCTTCTGTGGTACAAATGTTGTAAAACTCTGAATGCTGCGTTTCCATAAAAGGAGCATGCATTTCTGTGGAGGTGGTGATTAATGTTGGATGCCTTTAGGCGGTGCCATCCTACTCATGAGGGAAGCAGCGCTGTTCTAGGTTCAGCTGTGAATTGGTTTGCCTTTCCTCCTTTCCCAACTCTGCCACCTGGAAAACAAAACAAAACAAAACAAAAGCAACATCAACAAAAAAACCCCTGGCATTCTGCCTGCTGGCACCCTGTTAGAATAAAAAGATTAGAACACTTGGTATCTGTTCACTCACTCAGGTGAAGTTTGAGATGTCCTACTGGGCTTTTTGTCTATAGACCCTTGAAAATCTCGTTGAATAGGTGTTGTGGAAACATGAGAAATACATGTTTATCATCATTTGTTTGTTTATTTACCTACCTATCAAATTAGAAAAGTGCCAGGCGTTTATCTCAGTGTTTTGCAAATATTAACTAGTTTAATTTAAATTTCATAACCACCCTGAGAATTGGGTGGTATACTTTCATTATCCCACTTCACAGATAAGGAATCTGGGCACAGAGCTCTGATGGTGCTTGTTAATAGTCACATGCAATCTTTTTCCTATTTCTTGGCTTCCAATAATTATTCAGGTAACTAAATGTCTATTATTCCCAATTAGATGTCTAGTTCTATGGCTTTTATTTCTATAAATCATTCTGGTTTCTTTTTATGACCATGGCTGTGCTTATATTTCCCTCTGAAATTGGCAGAAGATGAGTGTGTGTGTGTCAGCATTTTTAACACCCACTAAAAAGAAATCTCCTACAGCGCTTTACAGTTTATAATTGCTTTTTCAGATATTATCTTCCTTAGTCCAGCAATGCTGGTAAGAAGAGTTATTATTTATTTCCATTTAACAAATGAAGTAAGTGGCTTAGAGAGGTTAAGAGACTGAACATATCCTAATGTGATTAGTACATTGGAATTTGAACCCAAGTCCTCTTAATCCTTTGCTCTTCCAAGCTGTTATGCTGCTTGTAAATTGGGAAATCCTATAGTCTGTTTTTCTTGAAATTCTTTGTTTTTCTAACCTCTGTCAAAATGATGTATTTTTTTTTAAACTTATATCCTAAGCCTGTATGGTAGAAGATGTGAAAGTAGGGGGGTTGATAATGCAGTTTTTTTGAAAGAGAGGAGATTATCAGATGTCACAAGAAATATTTTTTTTTCTATTTTTCTTTGACAGCAAAAGAGTAAAAATTTTGTAGCGCTTTTCTTGGTATTTTTGGAGTCCAGGGGAATAAGTACATAATGGTAATAATTAAATACAGTTTCCAGTAAGAGAGTGTTCTCAGTTTTAGCTGCACAGGCTTAGAAAGTTGGGTGAGAGAAGGCTTTGAGGAGAGATTAGAAGTTAGAGAGCCCATTTGTCGTGCCAGCATACAAAAATGTCCGCAGATGATGACTACTTGCACCTCCAGAGCTAGTCTCCTCTAGGCAAAATCAACAGTCACCAGTGCAGGAGAATGAATGAGTCAGAGCTCTGGGTCCAGAGCCGGTTTTACCTCTTAGCTTTGTGATCTTGCATAAATTATCCAAAGGCTCTGGACTACAGTTTAGTTCAATGTAGCAAGCTTTTATCAAACAGCTATGTGCCAGGTACTGTGGTAGGTGCTCTGGAGAGAAATACAAATTAGATAAGGCTTCTGCTGTTGGATAGTTCTCATACCAGCTGGGGAGACTGACAGGAAACACAGCGATGGTTCCTGCTGTGTTAGAGATATGTTCAGAGGGCTGATTAGGGAGGGGGAGGCAAAGCACATCAATCAGGGAATTCTACTAAGGTGCTGATTCAAGGTCAGCTTCCCTCCTCCTGACCCCTATACTTAGCATGTAGAGGGGACTGTAGGGAATGCAATGAAAGTGAATGGTGACAAAAAAATGAAAAAGAGCCTCGAGGCAGGAGCCATGGTTTTCTCCTCTGGGGTTGGAGTTGTCTTCATTCTGGGAATACTGTGGTGGGGCCACTCATCTTCCTTTGCTCCCGTCTCTGCCCCCAAGCACCATGTCTTTTTCCTAGCACAAGGCTAATCTCATAGATTTGTAAGAGTCCTATGTAGCTGTCTTTATCTCTGGCACTAGCCTAAGTACCCCTTGTGAATGGGGTTGGTTGCATCTTTGTGTTCTCAATGTCAGCACCATGCCTGGCACAGAATGGGTGGTTTAAAAATTCTGTTGAATGCGTGGATGGATGGGGATTGCTGGAAGCACAGCCTGGAAGGAGCAGAGGAAGGAGGGATTGAAAGGAGAAGAGTGAGATGTCCCTGGGCAATGGCTGATGAAATTTAACCCAGGCAGGGAGGGGCTTGGGCTGAAAGCCTTATTAAAAAGCTGCCATCTGCAAAGCAAGAATTTAACTCCTTGGTTTCACAAGAAAGGAGTAAATGTAACCTAGAAATTGGGGCTGGATTTGAAAATTAGCCCCAATTCTGCAATTTTCACCACAGTGAAAGCTTTTCCAGTTATACACGGTGATTGGTCTTGATGGGCTATTGTGGACAGAGGAGGGCGCTAGGTTGGGGTGGAGAGGGCCACAGCTCAGACTAAAAATCCGCTTTTCTCTCAGCATGAGCTTGGCTGCAGATGTAGAAACTAGAACTAACAGCAGTTTTACCTCACCTTAAAAGTAGTAAATTATTGGAGGCTTTAATTAATTGCTGTGATCTGTTGAGTACTTACTACAGGCTAAGGGCTGTAGGGAACACTTTAATTCACTGAATAATGTCAGTAACTCTGTGAAATAGATATTAGTATGCCTGTTTTGCAGATGCACAAACTGAAGCTCAAAGGGGTCAGTATTTCACAGATAGTGCAATACTGAGTTGGAGCCTTGGTTTGAACCTGAGCGTGTCTACTTCCAAAGCCCATGCTCTTGGGTGGATTTTCAGCGATGCCAGAAGATGGTTGGACTTTCCTGAAGATGTTTATATGCGTTGTTGCCACAGAGTCAAACCAAGAATTGTATTGTTGTATTTATTTCATTCAGAATCATAACATGCTTAATGCAGATGATGCCTCAGATTGTGAAGGTGGGTTGCCCATAGGCTGTATTGATTGGTGATTCTTAAGAGTGTAAAAAATGGAAACCACTTGATTTTGTTCTAGGCAGAATGTATCACTCAATAGCTTGGTTGAGTTTGGCTTAATGTAGATATGTTTAATGTAACTTGAAATTAGGCTGAGGGCTGAAAGGGCACTTTCAGGTCACTGCGGAGTGAGACAGAGCCCTCACTCGACTTTTGGGTCACTTGAGGTGGTTATGCGAAGCCCTGTTCACTTTTCACACTCGAGTTTAAATATTTGTGAGGGGAATATAGATCTTTGGTTTGAACTAGATACAGCTCAGAGGTTACCCATTCAGAACAGAGCATTTCAGCCTCAGAGCACCAGCTTAGCCTCTAAGATGAGACCACATCTGAACCAGCCAAGTCAGCCTGGGATAAGATTGGAGGAGAAAAATTCATGTGATAAGTCAGATCACAATTAACTTTTTTGTTATTATTTTTTGAGTGACCACAATGTGTAGGACTTGGAAATATGGAATAATGATGAGTTTTATTATTTCTTTTTGAGAAAAATCCAGTCACTTTTTTTTCTTAACCTGAGGAAGATGAATCCTTAAGAAGGGGAGATTTATCTCTGCCCTTTGAGCTTAAAGCCCGTAAAGTAAAATATATAGTTTAAAAGAATTACATGTTCCTCCTACCCCACTGCTGCCTGAGCCTTCAGAGTGTTTTGTCTCCAGACTGGGATGAAGACGCCATTTAGGAAAGTGCCTGGCTGGTGGTGTGGGGCCTTGCTTCCTGGAATCTGCATTCCCCTTGCCAGCTGCTTCCTTCCCTGAGAGGTACTGGTGGCCAGGTGTTACAAATCCAGGTCAAGATGAAGAAAACGCACTTTTGTCATTTCTTCAGGCATGTAGCCAACCTGACCGGGTCTCAGGTATTCCAGATATGAGCGATGTGCCGATTGTGCAAGGCTGGAAGCATTGCTCACTCGGAGATACCGAGGCCTGCCTGCCCCGAGCCCTTTGTTCTCCTGGTTGAAAGCAGTTAATTAGCAACTGTCTCCATAGCAACACCCTCACAGTCCAAAAACATTGTCTAGTTTTTCAGTTTAGCTTATCACACTGTTTACCTGAAGGGCTTTTCACTGCTCTGAGTCTCATTTGAGTTGGCGGCATGCCTGTTGGGGAAGTGAATTGTCAAGATAGAAAAAAACACCATGGTAGCAAGAAGCGGAGGAGACTTCTCCCTACCCAGCCCGACCCAGGTGCTGGATTCTGGGAAAACAGAAGTTGCGCCTGCCTAACATTTTCACCTGTTTTTTTTTTTTTTTTGCTGTAAAACTGTTGTTCTCTCCACTGAGCCCTGAATTGTGAGGATTTTTTCCCCCTTTCCTGGAGAGGCTTTCTAAGCTTTTTAATATTCCCTGTTTATAGTACATTTCCATGATTAGTCATCTCAAAACCCCAAGTGTTCTCAGCCCCTGTACATTCGAGGAAATTTTGCTTCCCTGAGGGTCTTGGCATTTCCGAAGGCCCTTGGGTGAAGGATTATGAGTCTGAATGTGAATTAGTCAGAGCAGCTTTGTCTTTAGGCGTAATGAGGAAGAGCTTCTCTTTCTTGGTTTAAGTTCATGATTTGTGAGAAAGGCAACTTCAGGTGGCTTGTTGGTAAAATAGGAAGGGAAACTATAGCTTTTTTATAGGCCACACAATGAAGATAATTTTCATAGCTTTCATTGATTGAGTGCAGGCTGTGTGGCTCTCCGTGCTAGCTGTGTGGCCCTCTGTGCTGGGACGCTTAGGATCTTTTAGCTCACATCTGCAATGGGAAGACGGGAGGCAGATGGGAAAGAAGACTGCGTTTCCTGAATGCCTACCACATTTCAGTCGCTGAGCCAGACTTTCATAAAATGAAGTCTCCTGTATCCTTCACAGCAAACCTGCTAATGAGGCCCTATTACGTATTTTAAAGATGGGAAACTGGGGTTCCATGGAGTCGTTGCCTGCCCAAGGTTGTGGAATTCTAATCTAGACCTGTTGGTTTACAGGGCACCAACACTTGTCTTGGAGCAGTGTTACGGATTTTGTGGTGGAGTTAGGTGGTGTGTATCACTGAATGCAGGGCTCTGGGAGACTTTTGCCAAGGAGGTTAGTTAGAATTTGGTGGTGTACATGTGTAATCAAATCCCTAAGTATGTCTCAGGAAATCATGAAGCTTAGGTCCAGTGATAAAATAGTAGAATTTAATTTTGAGGTGTGTGTGCCAGAGCTTATATACCCAAACAAATGTAATTCTCTTTGATGTATTAACTTGGAAAGACTGTGCCTTGTGATGTTTCCATTCTTCAGACCTTTTTAAGGAAACTTTATGGGGCAAAATGTTTTCCCAGCTTGCAAAATACGGCTTTGAATGCATTCAGCAGACCATGCTTGAGCATTTAACTCCCCTTAATATGGGCGGAGAAGTATGGCTTTTCCCTAGTGGTGATCACTTCGACCTAGCATGGGTTCACTAAGAACAAGTCACCCCAGGCTAGCTTCTTTTCTTTCTTTGAAAACTGTATTAAGCAGAAAACTATAGTTGATATAATGCATAAATGAGAACTTTGATCTGCTTTTTAATTTTATCTACTTTGTCAAAAACAGAGGCATAGTCTGAGCTGAATGCAAGAACTGTGGTCTGAACTGCACCTTAGTTAATACCTAAGGGTGACAAACAGGTGTTGTAATGGCAGGTCAGTACTATGTGATTTTTGTGGACTGTGCGATCACAGTAAGTTCATGATGTGGCTTCTGCAGAAGCGAGTGTTACCTCGGGCTGTGCAGATAGAGGAGGATGCATACCATATTAGAACACACTTGGAGCCAGGGGTTCTGTTTTCCTTTCTTTGCTTCCTCACTCTCTCCAGTATACTGTATGCCAGGTACCTTTCTACGTGTTGGGATGCAAAGGTGGACAAAAGAGAGAGAGAACGTAAAAATGGCCGGGCGCAGTGGCTCACGCCTGTAATCCCAGCACTTTGGGAGGCCGAGACGGGCGGATCACGAGGTCAGGAGATCAAGACCAGCCTGGCTAACACGGTGAAACCCTGTCTCTACTAAAAAAATACAAAAAACTAGCCGGGCGAGGTGGCGGGCGCCTGTAGTCCCAACTACTCGGGAGGCTGAGGCAGGAGAATGGCGTAAGCCCGGGAGGCGGAGCTTGTAGTGAGCTGAGATCCGGCCACTGCACTCCAGCCTGGGCGACAGAGTGAGACTCCGTCTCAAAAAAAAAAAAACAAAGAACGTAAAAACTAGGGTTTCTTCAGAAACCTCGTATCACCCAGATGGTAAAGAGAAGAAACCACATGTCACACAAAATCGTTCAAAGGATGGAGTGGGTGTGGGGGTGGTAGTATTTGCCCTGACTTAGAAAAGACTCTGCAAAGGCATGAGTTGTTTTAAAATATCCAAAAGATGCTCCTGGGTGAAGAAGCAGCACGTTTGTCCAGTAGACTCTACTTATAATCTTAAAAGGCAGTCACATTTTGGCTCAATTATAAAAAATATATTCTTAACAGTCCTGCAAAGGTGGATTGGGCTTCTGCTTTAGGATATGGTGAGAAGTATTGAAGCAGGGATCAAAAGACCATTTGATTGCTTACTGTGAAGGTCAGCAATATAATGAATCTCCTTTAAAATTTCCAGTCATAAAAATTGTATAAGTGAGCAGGCATGCCGTCTGCCTGCAAGATACATGCTAGTAATGAAGGAAGATGTATATCACAATTAACATTCCTACTTTATATATTTTTTTAATCTCTTTTGGGGGCAGCTAAATATGATCAATTTAGAGATGTTAGAACATTTGTAACTATAGTTTGTGAGATGGGCAATTTTAACCACAGGAAGTCTTCAGAATCACAACACAGGTTCAATTCACTGTGGTTATGATGTCATAATTATATATTGTGGATGTCTAATTCCCACCTAGAAGTAAAGATCATGTGACATATCCTAGCCAGTATTAAAGCAATATTATTATAAAAATGATCTCTGATGTAGAACCACTAAAATTAGGGCCTTAGGTATACCCATATTGAGTTTGCCCTTTTTATTTGCAAAATGCTTGATCCCAGATTGCTATGAGTGATAGACATAATAGTGATCTTTTTGCTTTTGATAGTTAGGCATCACAGTTTTAAGACAACCTATGGAGTTTTAGAAATTGTGTCTGTGTCTACAGAATCATATGTGTGATTAAATAAAGATTAGTAGGTACAGAAACTAGTTGAAGCATTGATCGATACACCTTGTACCTTCCAAAGAATTGATCTATTTAAATCAAGTTAGTTTTGCAGCTCCGTTTGTTGCTTCTCTAGATTATTAGGTGGTTTTATGATGTTTCTTTTATTTTTTTCACTAGGAATTTTGCTGAGTATTTTTAATGCCTGAATTGACAGACTGGTTTATCAGTGTTGGGGGTCCGTGTGATCTTCTCATTAGTACATTTACAGTGGCGGCACTTTCATGTTTGAATGTAGACACACCTGTCCCTAATATTTATGGAGCCTGAGGCAAAGAGTGTCAGTGGAAGCTCATGTACTATATGTTGAAATATTTAAAGGTTATAATTCGAGTTAATACACTGTTAAATAAAATTTTCTCACTTCCTACTTTGACAAATTTAGTTGCATAGTAACTTGGAACCCAGGTTCAAATTTAGAGGCCTGCCCCCTTCTCTTCCCACTCCAGCTACATCTTGTAACATGTTCATATGGATGCTGTAGATTGTACAAGCAAACCCTCTTTTCCTTCCTCCTGCTAACAGCTGCTCCTGGGCCACTCCTTGCACTGAAGCATACTCACACCAGTGACACAATCTGCCCTTTTGACAACAGACTCAGGGAAGTGGCCTGCACAGACCTTGGAAGTAGAAAGGGGTTCTTGGACTGAGAATTCTGGAGTCTCGGGTCGTTGGTCGATGGTCTAAAAGGTGAGGGTGTTAGGTGAAGTGTCCTCTTGATCCTCAAAGGCTTCTCGCCCTGGGGATGGTGGGGGTGGGGGGGGGGAAGAGGAGGAGGAGGAGGAGACCCTCTAAAGTGTAGGGCCCAAGTTGAGCCCTCTGTACAGAATATGGATAGAAGAATGACTAACTTCCAACAGCCTTTCATATTTTAGAGCTTGAAGCTGAGTAGTTTCAACCAAGTAGTTGGGTTGGCCTAAATGCTTTGCCATTTAACCTCATAAATTATCTAAACATCAACATAGCCTGAGAGTTGAGTAAAAAATAAGTGAAGTAGTTGATCATTGTCAGGTCAGGTTTGAATTCTGTCATATTTGAAATACCTGCAACTGTGAAATTGCCTGTAGGAATTGCAGTTGTGCTAAACAATCAAACGAATTGGTAGGTTGGCTTCCATAGGCAAAATCTTGAGGCTGTTTGGGGGAAAAAAATTACAAAATGTAGCTAGTAATAAGTGGGTTGCAATAAGAATCAAATGTAATACAATTTTCTGGGGAAGCAAATTGCATTGCACTTTGTTTTATTTTAAAAAATGATGTGAAAATACAGAGCATCACAGCACAGACATATTTTACACCAGTTTTCACAATAAAATCCCCAAATGTGAAAGCTCTCCCTTTTTGCAAAGGTATTTGGAAGCAATAATGTTTGTGTGCATAGTTGAGTTGATCAGAGTATACTGATTTTTTATCCCATGAGGTTTTCAAGGAAAGTGCAGCTGGTCAACCTTTAGTGTTTTCTTTGCCACCGGATATAGTTCTGTTTCTGTCAGCTCAAATACAGTATTTTGGGAAATGAATTCTCCGTAGGATACCTTAAAATGTCTTTGTGTTGTAACACAGGGTAGGAGGCAGTATGTTTAATAGGTTAGTGTGGATATGTAGGTCCTGAAATCACAGTCCTGCTTTTTGCTCCTGGCTCTGCCACTTCTGGTTGCTTGCGTAACCTTGAGCGAGTTACTTAACCTTCTCTAAGTTTCAGTTTTCTCATCAGTAAAGTGGGTTGAATAATAGTGCCTTTGTTAAAAGGT